TTAAGTAAGAGGTGTAAGCATTGTATGTATTCTTATTTATATCCTTAATTTGAGAGTGCTCACTAAGCACTCTACAAAGCCAATGCATAGGGCTATATTTGGTGTGGTAGACTACTTTCAAGCCACCCAAGTACTCTAGGAAACTATAGACTAGTTATGTGGCACAATTTAAGGGTGGGGTCCTGTAAATAGCACTCCCTTATACTTATTGTATCATAAGTTCTTCACTTAAATTGCTTTAGTTTCCTAAAATCCGTAGGGACAAAAAAAAGTGAGAACTAAAGTGTTGTGAGATTTTGGAGAAGCCTAAAGTGTTTGGACTTGCAACCAGGAGTTATACAATAGCTTTCAATTTGAGGTAGGGTTTTTCTTAGGGAGGCTTTCCATAAATTGATTTAATTAAATATTGTGAACACTATTATGCTTGGTAATATTATTTGATTATTATCCTTAATATTGAGTGTTTACATGTTGTCAATTATCATTATAATTTGATTAATATTGACATGTTCATATGTTATCAGTGGTGGTTGGAATTATTAGGTTGATAAAGAAATTATGGAAGGGTAATGAGAAGGATCTTTGTGTAGTTGAGTCTGACCATTATAGGGACCAAGTTCAGGCGAGCCCGTGTGCACAGTAGATTAGGAAATCAACAGTATAATTGTCGATTGGGTGATTTGGGCTTGGAGATCAATGGTTTAGACAAGATGACTAGCAAAAGGGATAATGAGGAATCTACTCAGGAACCTACTTATAAATCTCCTTGGGAGCCACCGAGTCAATTGGATTAGTCACTAGGCCTATAGAAGTTCAGTCACTATCCGAAGTGATTATTATCAGTTATGATGAAGAAAATTAGTACTGAAGAAGGAGAGTTATATAAATGTTTATAGTTGTAGAAATAAACCATCAAGTTTTGTAAGATAAGTTTAAGTTTTTGTAAAATTGTGTGTACTTTTGTAAAATTTTGTGAAATATAATAAATGAGTGTTTTGTTTATTCTTTCTCTTAAACTTTTATTTTACTATTCAATAATATTGTTTTTAGATATTTTAATGTTGGAGTAATCATAGCCATTCAGGATATGACTTCAATAATTAGAGAAAATAGTAACCAAGATCGCCGTCATGAAATTGAAGAAGATCGAGTTATGAAGATACAAGGAGAATTTCATAAGACGAAACCAACGATATTTAAAGGTGAACCAAATCCTATGGTAGCTAAAGAATGGTTGAGGCAAATTAAGAGAAAGATGGATAATCAAAGAATTCTGGAAGACATTAGAGTTGTTATTGCTTGTACCTATCTAGAAGGACAAGCATACCTTTGGTGGGAGTCGATTATGAGTATGCCTAATATTGAAATTACAACTTGGGAGGCCTTCGAAAGTATTTTCTTGGAAAAGTATTTTCCAAGTACTATGAAAGCAATGAAAGCAAGGGAGTTTGTTAACCTTGTCCAAGGCAACTTAACTGTTGATCAGTATCAGTCTAAATTTGAAGAACTCATGCGTTTTGCACCATATATGATCCCTGATGATGCAACAAAAGCAAAACGATTTGAAGAAGGATTGAGACTATCAATTTTGGAAAAGGTTGACATTTTGAAATTAAGTATGCTGATGTGGTTGATAGAGCACATATAGCAGATCAAAGACTTGAAACTAAGAGAACTTGGGATTCAATTAGTGGAAAAATAAATAAACGAACAAGATTTAATACTCTTCAGTATCAATCATAAGAAAAGTTTGGACCACCACTATGTTATTACTGCAAACAAGTGGGACATGTAAAGAGATTTTGTCCACAACTTCAAACATATCAAGGACCTCAAATACAACAGACATTATATCATCCTCACAAGTACCTTTCGTGCTCCACCGCCACCTCAAAGTTATACTACTTTTCAATCACAATCTAACTGGGCAAGACCAGTTACTAGCCAATTATCATAATGTCTAGGAGGACAATCTTCTCAAATTAGACCAATGGTCCTTGTAGTTGCAAAGAAATCTGGATAATTCACGCAAGGAAGAGTATACGTTGTGGGAAATGTGAAAGATCAAACTGAGCCTAAAACAATAGAAGGTATGTTTTTGGTATTTTACTATTGCGCTAGAGTGTTATTTGATTGTGGAGCTACACACTCTTTTATATCCACATCTTTTGCATCAACACTTGAGTTAGAATTTGAAAATATGAAACCCTCTTTGTTAATTGGATCTCCTTTTGGTGGTAGTCTAGAAGTTGATAAAGTATGTAGATCTTGCATGATAGAGATGTTGGGCCATAGAATTTTTGTTGATTTGATGGTATTGGAAATGTTGGAATATGATATTATTTTAGGAATGGATTGGCTTACATATTACCAAGCTACAATTGACTGCGGTAAGAGGAGAATTACTATCAATGCTCATAAGGAAGAAACCTAAATTCTTTGTGAAAAAGGAAATTCTGAAATGCGGTGTTGGATATTATAAATATTTGAGTTGGATAGCTAGAATCGAAACTGAAGAAGTAGAAAAATCTCCAATACAACGTATTCCTGTAGTAAAGGAATTTAGCAATGTTTTTCCAGAAGATTTGCATGGTTTACCTCCAAAGCGTGAAGTAGAGTTTGCTATAGAAATATACCTAGGTACAACACCTATTTCTATACCTCCATATCGTATGGCCCCAACTGAACTGAAAGAACTTAAGATGCACTCCAAGAATTACAAGCAAAAGGATATATTCATCCTAGTACTTCACCATGGGGTGCACCTGCTTTCTTTGTAAAAAAAAGAAAGATTTAACTCTTCGAATGTGTATCGATTATTATCAATTAAATAAGGTCACAATAAAGAACAAATATCCTTTGCCTAGAATTGACGACTTATTCGATAAGTTAAGAAGTTCTCATTTCTTTTCAAAGATTGATCTTTGATCTGGTTACCACCAACTTCGAGTCAAAGTTGAAGATATACCCAAAACAGCTTTTCGAACTCGATATGGGCATTATGAATTTTTAGTTATGCCTTTTGGATTGACAAATGCACTAGCAGCATTTATGGATATGATGAACTGAATTTTCCAACCTTATTTAGATCAGTTTGTCATCGTATTCATTGATGATATTATTATATATTCCAAATCTCAGGTAGAACATGGAGAACATTTGCGAATTGTTTTACAAACATTAAGAGAAAGTCAACTGTATGGAAAGTTGAGTAAGGGTTTAGGGTTATGTATGAAAGAGAAAATTAGCTACTAGAAATTCTAGGTTATTTATCCAGTTATTTTCATTAAAGTGATGTAATCATATAAACATCAATGCAAGTTCAATTTCTCATTCAACAATGTGTCATAAAAATAACCCAAAAAAAAAAAAAAAAAAAAAAAGAGAGACCGTCGCCCATAAGCAGCGTCCTAAGGGAGACGCAAGGCGACAACTATAAGCGTCCTAAGGGAAATGCAGTTCACAAAAAGTGTCCTTAGGGAGACGCATGACGCGCCAAGAGTTTCCTAAGGGAGATCCAGGTTCGCGTATAGATTTTAATTGAGTTTGTTAGACTTTTATTATTGATTTTCATGGAGTTTAGAGCACTAAAAAACAAAAATATTTGTAAAAACAATAATGCAGTTATTTAAGAAATAAAAAAATATTGGTGGTAGCGGCGGTGGTGGCAGTGGCAGTAGCGATGGTGGTCGTGATGGTGAGGGAGGGGTCGGTGGTCATGGTGGTGGAGGTAGTAGCACTATGGGTGGGGTCGATGGAGGTGATAGTGACAGTGGTGTTGGTAGTAGGGGTGGCGATGGCGCCGATGGTGGTGGTGGTGTCGTGGGTGGTGGTGGTGGAGGTAATGGTGGCGGCGGCAATAGCCATGACAAGATGGTGGTAGTCAAGGTGGTGAAATCATATCTTGAGAATAAAAACAATACATCTATCAAAATCTCTGGGGAAGCAAAGATTTGTCATGGCCTAAAATTAGTCTAGAATCAAACGAAAGCAGCTACTTGTTGCATTTCCTTTAAAATCAATAAATTTTTTAAAGGTTTTTTAGGTTTTAGACATAAAAAAAATTTCACTTTTGGAAAAAGCCAAAGCTTTTTAAAAAAAGACAAAAAAACCACTTAACTTTCAAATCAAAGACATGCAAATGTATTAGATTCCTTAGGAAATCTAAAAATAAATAAGGGCATTTTCGTCCATTTTTGCTTCTTTTAAAATTTTTCTCTCTCCTTTTGCTTTTTCCAAAATGTCCCATTTTTTAATACACCCATACTTTTATTAAGTCTTTTAAAGTCACGATTGAATACATCCAAATTGAATACACCTCGACTTTTTTAGACTTCTATAAAATCACCATCTCGACCTTAAACTTCTTAAATTTTTTTTAAAATCTCAATTGAATACACCATCCTAATGTAAACAACTTATAAGAAATCAGTACCGTTCCTACCCCGCATTCCACATGATTTAATGAACAATTTCACTAAGAATTCAGATTTTGATTCTCCCCAATTTAATTCCTTCTCAGCTGGATTAATAACCACGCCATAAGTCTATTTATGAATAAAAGTTTCGTTCAAATATTTTTTATAAAATTGATATTGGGGATGGAGGGAATGGAACCTAAGACTCCGAATGCCTCTTAAACCACCTCTTAACCACATGAGATAGAAATTCCTTGCAGTTTTTAGTTCAAATCTATTCCAGCATAAAACCTATTTATTTATCATTTTCCTCATGTTCATCAGTGAATAAAGTATTGACAAGAATTGGTGGCCAGTGCCTTTGTATGCAGAGCATACGTGACCCACTAAACCACGCGCTCCCTCCACCATCACAACCACACAACACTCAGTGGGACCCAGCCAAGAGTCGTTTTTCCAGAAACTTCTAAATTACGTGGACCAATCAAACCGCAGAAACTGATCGGATCTCATCGCCCAACTCTCATCCACGAATTCTGATGGCAACCCTCTCCTCGTTGTTGATCTCCTCGCCACGTGTCGCCCGCTGCGAGACTCAATTTTATTAATCCAAGAAAATAATAGAGTAAATAAATAAATAAATAAATAAAAATTCAATTCTCTGATACCTTCTTTCTTTCTTGTTGTTCTGCTCGAGAGGACGCCTCTGCTCAGGAACCTCCCAGAAAAAAACAACCCCAAATTAGGGCTAACAAGCTCTTCTCTCTTCTTGTGATTTCATCACCCATCTCTTTTGTTTTCCGGGAAAATTTAGATTTTCCTAGAAAAATTCCATTTCCAGGTGAGTGTGATAGTGTTTGTTGGAAACATCTACTGTTTGCTTTACTTTTTTCTTTTTTCAGCTACTACTTTCTGTTTTTAATAGCAGTTTTGTTATGCATGTATGGTTTTCTTTTTTGGGTTGTTGAAATTACCTCCATTTTGGTTGCTGAGAAAATGTTATAAGAGAAATGATTATTTTAATTTTTTTTTTAAAATTTAATTATTAAGAACTCAAAACGCAGAGGAAAAAGAATTCACCTGATTCTAACACTATTTCTACTTGTGGCTGAATGTTTTTGAAGTTTTCTGGGAGTAAAAATAGCAGCAGTTTCACCTCTGAAAATATGGTTCAGTTTTTTGAACTATATGTTCTTGATGGACAGATCTGTAAATCTGTCCCTTACCGTACTTTTTTTTTCCTACTGAAGTACAGAACTATATTTTTTTGGTGTGGAAAATAAGGGTTTACTTAGGCCTAAGGTTCAAAGGCAAAAAGTGGACTGAGGTTTAATTTTCTTGGATCATATTTAATATATACAACAAGGTTAAAATTAAATCTTTACTATTATACTTGATAACCTTAAAAATACATCAACATTTATGACCTGACCAATATTTTCCCAAAATTTTATGGGCCCATAATAAGTTATGAACTATGCACTCTGTTTTGATTAATTTTAAAAACTTTTGTGCCGTTTTCTTATTAGAAAAATTATCCATTGCAAGATGGAGATGAGAAGAATTATAAAAAAAACTGGGCCTCATGTTCTTCATCGTTTGAGACTAAGTTTATTTTGTTCCCCATTCAATCCAAAATCACAAATAAACTTGGAGCCTGAGATTTCTTAAGAAATTCAAGTTTGAGTATTTTTTTTACTTTCCCTTCTGGTTGTGTTCTTTCAAAGTTCTGTTGGTATGCGGAGTTTTCCAATCAAGGTTGATCACAAACATATTTATATTGCTATGAAATTTCTGGTTTTTTGGTGGATGATTATGTTCCATGAATCTCAAGTAATTTAACATATACGTTTACTTAAAAATTTAACTGGGTTTGTTTTCCTTTTTTTTGGGTGCTAGCTCAGAAATTTTTAACTAAATTGATGATTTGCTTTGCTGATAACTGTAGAAAGTGAAGGGTTGCGTAGCTCATAAGGATTATCATGATTGTTACTAACTTACTTACCATTGTATCACTGATTTGAGTTGAGTGTTTAGAGTGTTTCACATGTTTCTCTTTCCTCTATTTGTATTGCTTTTTTTTTTTTTTTTTTCTTTTTTCTGTTATTATGAGTGGTAATAATACTGCAAGTTTGATGCTTTTATAATATGTTTCCATGTTCTTTTGCTGGTGTAGAAAGGCACAAACATATATTTTTCCACAAACATGACATCAGATAAAAGAGTTAATTGCGTCTTCAGTGGAGGGTAGAACTTCGTGCCGGAATGTCAGACTTATGCTTGTATGAGGTAGTAAATTTTTTAATTTTTAATTTTTTATTGACAGTATGTGGTTGGTTGATGTGAACTTCTGCATAATACTTTTTGATTGTTTCTATTGCAATTGTGTGCTTATTATATGATACATATTGGGACTCTGAGGGTGCCAGCTGGTTCAGTTGGTAAAGTTCTTGTCATCACACAAGGGGCCAGGGACTGAATCCTGCCTTCAGAGTATTTTGGATTTTCCTTCTTTATGGTAGGGTGGGATTAAGGGTTACCTAAAACAAAAATATTGGGACACAGATACGCACTAGTTGAGTTGTTATAAGATGACAATCCACATATTCTCATTGTTAAATTTCTGTAATAGGGTTTCTACTGGCTGTTTTGTCATATTTTAAACCTTATATGTAGTCGGATATGTTGGAGGATAAAACTACAACTAGTTTCTTAGAATACTTGGGTTTCTAATTTTTTTCAGTAGCACGATGTAGTTTGCTAAATTAACTGTTTTTGTTTTCTCTTGTAGTTAAGGTTTGTAGTTTGTTTTTATTCTTCTAGGATTATAGTTAATGCATCTTATTCTCTCCCTTTTCCCTTAACAAGGTCTTTTTGAAATTAGGCTTACTTTATTTATGTGTATATTTTATGGGATTAGGCTTACTTTATATTTGTTGACTCTCAATTGATACTTTATTTCATCCCAAAATTATTTTCACTTTTAACATGGTGCTGATAGAGTTAGTTAGTAAGTTGACCCCTTTATTTTTTGGCCTTTTGTTTTGTTTTATATTACATGCATTTCACAGTTTAATTACAAGAGCATAAGACATCAAAAGTTGCTGCTTCTGCTTAACTTCATTTTTTTTCTTTCAAACTTTTGTGACTTAGGCAATTTCTTGTGGAATATTCAAGAGATATATATATTGTGCTTTAGTAGTATCATATTGCTTTAGGGATACTTTTCCTGTGTTTTGTACTTACCAAGATGTGATTCGACGAGTGTTCTTATATCCTTTTTTTTTTGTTGGGTCAGAAGTGTTCTTATATCCAATACCTGAAAAACATTGCATCAAAAAAATATTCTAAAGAAGCAAACGTGTGCCATAGAGGAAAGGTCTACTCATCTAGTTGGGAATCTGTTTCTACTGTCTTTGGGGATTTAAGCCTGATTGGATTACTTTTAGATTGGAAGGCCTGAATATGTTAGGATTAGTTGTTTTAACGTCAAGGATGGATCGGACTTTGTTCGGAAGTGTCTTTGTTCTGTATGGAGTGGTGGAGTTTCTGTATCTAGTTTGTATCGTTTGAGTTGATACAGTATTTATTTTTATTTTTATTATTTTTGAGCAGTACATGTAGATTGTATTGTTTGTGTTGTGGAAGAGCAGAAACATTATATATCTGATAGGATCACTCGACTACTTATGTGTCAAAAGTTAGATACACTTCATTTTTTGGTCAAGTTTAATTGCATATGTATTTTTTATGAGCTACTTTGTGAATTTCCATTACATCACAGTGCCTCTCATATGCGTCTTGTTATATCTTCATGAGATTAATTCATTTTTTCTCAAGCGTTTTGAACCTAGGCTATGAAATGCAAGCACTATCTTCATTCTGGTTTAGGCTGTTTAGGGAGTCCAATTGAGCTGGGTCATTCCAGAATCTTTGTGTGACTTTATTCTCTTCCATCTCCCATCTATCTATTTTCTCTAGTTATTTAGGATGGGCCTCAAGAGAATGATTCGGAGATTGGATATCATTGAGATGTAATTCATCCCATTGAATTTACAGGCAAAATATTTATTATCTCTATGGGATTAACTCCCGCATTAACCTAAAGGGGGTATGGACCCCTTCCATAGTCCTGAACCAATCTATCTTGGGATCGCAAATCCCAAGTTTGTCTATGAAGAGCAGATCATCCCCAAGTCCTTGGCCACTGGTTGAAATGACCTCTTTCATTGATATAGCTTTCTTCTTTTCAAAAATAAAATAAACCTTGTGTTTCTTTCATTTTTCTCCTTAACCTTTATTTCAGGTGGAGGTGATAAATTTTTTGTGTTCCCTTTTGAACTATGCACTCCTTAGTTATTCAAAATTACGTTAAGTAGTGGAATTTTCATTTTGGTTGTCTAAATTTTGTAGTTAATAAACTTCGAACATAAATTTCAAGGTGTTTACTAACGAGGGGTTAGTGGAATTGGTCAGGCCCTTGGCTTGCTCCATGTGGTCTGAGGTTCAAAACCCTCAAAAGGTACCTACCTAGCTATTTGCCAGTGTTTTGTGCCTCTCAAAGATTGTAGGGCAGGTGGGGGTCCAGTTTTGAATCTGATCAGCAAAGTGGATTGGGGGTTTTCTGGGTGTTAAAAAAAGAAAAAAAAAAGGTGAAGATGTTTTAAGGTGTCTTATTTTGATATTCATTCTATTGGTTATCTTCCGTAACAGAGACATGTACCCATTGATAAAAAAGGTTAGCACATTTACCATTTAGCTTCCGTGATTGAACAATTCCATTAGGACAATGTTATGCATACCAACTTCATTTTCCCAACAAACAGGGAATGTTTCCATTGGGTGCTATAACATGGTGAGTTTTCCAATGCAATGATATAGTGTGCATGTCAAGGGCCACATAGGTTGGGAAACAAAAGTTGGGAGAAAAAGTTGGGCTATTAACCATTTTCCATTCCATTATGTGACAGACAAAAAACAGTTAGCCACAATCCTTTTTTATTTTATTTTTTTAAAAGCTGGGTAATGCTTTGGGTTTTGGCGGCTTACTTCTCACACGTAAGTAGTTATTGAATCATAAACTGGAAAAATACCTTTTCCTGTGAACAGCTTTAATTTTCCATTCAGAACATTTAATTTGCTATAGTGTTTTAAAAGGTTTTGTTTCATTTTCCAAGCATCTTATTTTGCTGTTGCTATGTTTTTGTTACGCCACATCTGAAATCTGTTAAATGGAGTTTGATTCCTGATAGTATGTACATATTTTCCCTGTGAATTATTTTGCAAATTTTTGCCTGAAAGTTATAATGATTAAGTTTCTGGTTTGCCTTTCCGTTCTATATATTGATGGATGCTTTTCATTTTTTCCAGATTATTTTGTCTTACATCTAAATTAATGACATTGATGTTACAGCTTGAAGATAACGCGTGGTATGAGTTTGGTGAGAGTGACGACCATATAGTACCTCATCCTGGCATTGAGCATGATGATCAGTTTCCAGTAGAGGGTGATAGTTGTAAGAAACCAAGGCGTGATCTAATTGGCATCCCAAGTAATGCAAATTGTGCAACTATTTCTGAACTTCAAGGAAAGGAGAAAGAAAACTTAGCAACTCTGACTAAGAAGAGTACCATGCTGGAAAAGGTTTCATTGTCCAACACACCTGATGGTGCGTATGCTTCTTCATGTAATGGTGACTCAATCAAAGAAGTGACAAGCATAGCATCTGATGATACAGGGATGTCCAACCATTGTTTAAAAAGTGGTAATCCAGATTCAAGCGGTAGTGATGCCAAAGACGATATCATGGGCGACGGATGTACTGTAGTTGATAATAACTTATATGATTACCCTCTAAATCACATATCCGAAACAGATAATGACCTCAGCTTCTTGGATAATGATCGTGAAGACAGAGACAGCAGTGATCTTTTATATTATGGTTGGCCAGATATAGGAAATTTTGAGGATGTTGACAGGATGTTTAGGTAGGCTCTATGGCCTCTTCTCTTACAGTAGTTTTTTATTATCTTTTCCTTTTGTGTGTTACATACAATACATACATTTTTTAGATAGTGATTGAAACTTGTAATATGGGTCTCTGGTTCTGTCGCAGAAGTTGTGATTCAACATTTGGGCTAGGAAGTCTCAATAATGAAGATGAGTTGTGCTGGTTTTTATCTTCAAATTCTGCTGAAGGATCTGAAGATGTGTTGAAGTCTGGCGTCAAGTTTTCATGTTCAGAGGCAACTGCAAAAAGTCTATCGGAAAACGGTGAAGCTTCCAAGCTGGAAAATGTGGATCCTTTAACCAATGGTCTGAATAAAAAAGGGACTTCCATGGGTGACAACATAAGTTCCCCAGGTATGGATGCTGGTGTACGGGCTACTCTTGGCAGCTTATCAGTTGTGAATGGCTCAGATGCAAAATCTGAAATAGGGGACGACTTGACGCTAAAAGAACAGGTTTGTATGGTCTCTGCATGAAAGGCTACTATATTTGGATTTTATACTGTATTTTCCTGGTGAATGTCTGAAGGATCCTGGATAACATTTTCACACACTTATATCATTGGTGGTATTGAGTTCTAAAGTGGTGGAGCTACATTTTTAATTTTGGGTCCACTGGGAGTGGATGAGATTGGCTACGATTGGGAATTAGTTGGAATGTCATGCTAGATTTACATAGGAGAATTACTAAATAAAATATAAAAATAAATTGGGGTTGGCTTCAGCCCCTTCCAGCCACAAGCTGATTATGTCCTCAATGATGTAGCATAGCAAATTAATTATTAAAAAAGGAAAAAGATTGTGAAATGGAATCTTGCAGGTCAATGTGTATCCAATATCCATGACTACATAGTTTTATAGTTGTGAACATAGTATATGAAGTTCTCTAATGGGCATAGAACCTGCACTTAGCTTCACAGAAATCTTAAATAACTGCAATCCCCCTTCTGTTTTTTGTGCCTCCAATGATGCTTTTTTCCGTCTTTGGACAACCATCAGTGTGGTTCATCTTAGGACAAGGAATTGTTAGAAATTTTTGGTTTGTGTTTGAAAGGTGTTTGCAATTCTTCGCAAACCTCTAAATGCTTTATCCATGTTAACATCAAAAAGTTTTCAGTTACATATTTATCACCACAGTGCACCAAAGTGACATTAAATGCGGTAGCAAACTGTTCTCAGAAAAATAGTATTAACAGATTCTATATTTGCTGACAGATTAATTTTGATAAAATGCAGCCAAAGCACCACAAACAACCAGAAGGGGAAAGAATAGACCGATATGTAGAAAATGGTGGTTCATTTCCTCATTACAGTGACCTGAACCAATTTCAGAATGCAAACCATCCCTATGCAGACTCATCCTGTCAAGTTTATTCTACTCCTGCCATTCATCAGCATAAACAAAAAACAGTAACTGAATCTGTGAGATACATGCAGACAAATATTCCATATATGCACTTGGACTATAGTCATCCATCAGATCAAACTTCAGTCTGCCCAACTGTATCTGGCACCCAATCTGACAATAATGTCCACCCATCTCCTTCTCTGAAGGAGACTTCCTATGCATCAAATCAAGTACTGTCCATGGAGAGTTCTTGTGGTCCATTCAATGCTCCTTCTGTAGTAAAGAAAGAAAAGCAACTGTTGTCTGGGGATTTTGAACCCCCATTTTCTAAATGTTTTAACATTTTGGCTATCGAAAATCCAGAGACATGTTGTGATCCGGTTTCAGTTCAAAAGAAAGTGCAGCAATCTGCAAATGAGACTGAAGGCCATAGTGATGTTGAAGGAGGAGCCAGTATAGGAATGCAAGCAGAATTTGATTCTTCAGATCTACAGGAGAGCTCTTGCTTGAGCTCTGTGCTGGATGAGATATCACTAGAAGCAACTAGTTTTCGCCAGCTTCAACAAGTAACAGAGCAGGTATAGTAATTTACAGAACTTTACAATGCACATAATTTAAATTCATGCTTGCACACACACTTCCTGATAATGCCTCATCCAGTGCACAATGTTGTGCAATTGTTTAAGAACAGGAAAGACAAACGAACTCAAGAAACCAAAGCAAATAAGTAAGATAAAGAACACCAAGAATTAACGTGGTTCGGCTATGCACCTGCGTCCACAAGGCAGCAACAATAAATCTCCACTATATCAATACTGGCTACGAGAAAACATCTTTATGAAGCCTCTAGGTTCAAGGCCTGATGAACGACTAGAAAGAACAAGAAGAAGAAAACAAGGAAACACTCTTACCTATTTTCTTCTCTCTCACGCATTTTGCCCTTCAATATTCTCTCTCTCTCTAACTCCTTGAGTGGTATTATGAATATTTTTCTCTCTTGCTCCCTGATTCTTGTAAATGAGCGCAGCTGCTCTCCTTGTATAGCCATGATAGTGGGGTTCATGAATTGGGAAAGCAATTCATCACCAAGTATATGAAACCTTCTTCAATTGGGAAAGCAACTATAATTGGGAATAGGATTTGTATCCTCCAAGGCTACTAGTTCTAGTAAGGTTAGGAAACTCATCATTCGCTGGAAAACCTGACACACAATACAAATTTGAGGTGGATATCATGAATTTCTATATTTGAGAATGATGATATCAAGGAAACTTATGGATTGGGAGGGAAAAGAAGTATGAAGCAGAATCCCTAACTTAAGATGCTCTTCTTTGGAATGAGGTTGCCCTGCTGTCCCAGAACTTGGGAATGGAAAAGTTTTTGTTGAATATAAAATAACTATTGGCCTACATCCTAATAGCTTAAGCTTTTGGGAGCAATGGTAAATGAACAAAAATTTATAGGTTCTAAGCGTCTTCAATGGATAACAAAGAAAGCATTCCTTTTCAATCACTTACTCAGTCTCAAACATTTGGCATAAAGCTTGATATCAATTTATTATCTTTCCAAAGTATATGGCCTTAAAGAAAATGTGACCTTAAAGTTATAAAAAGTAATCAGTGGAAGATATGAAGATAAAAGTAGAAGCCATTGTTTAGTGAATGCTCAGAATAAAGTACTAATCCCAAATTCCTCTTAGTTGTCTATCTCAACTTTCTTTTTATTTTAATAAAAAATCCTCCACGGAGAGAGGTGTGAAATTTTGGGGCAGTCGGGGGTATGGTGGAGAGATTGTCTTTGGCAGAGCTTACTTGTGCTACCACAGAGAAATGCCAAATCTAGAAACTCTTTCATTCTATTCCTTAACAAACTGTTTTGCTTAAAAAACTTTACTTCACTACAGTAGGTGGTAATAGGACACAAAAATGTCTATTATGAACAACTATTTGGCCAAGATTTTGGCTTAGTAAGAATTGTTCCAAGGCAATAATCCTGTATGGTCTGTATGGTATGCTGCAATTGTGGTGTAAGTATGGGCTGCATGGGAATGGATAGAATGTGAAAGTTGTCTAGAGGCTCTAGTTTGTGCCGGGGACAAACATGTTGAAAGGGATTCTTTCTTTCACTTCATGTTGTCTTTTTTTGAGTTTTATGGAGAAAGAGTGAGGTTTTGTGAAAATGGGCAACAGCCTTTTGCCACAATATATTTTGTTACTTTGTTATTGTGTTATGTGAGATTGGTACTCCGAAAATTAGTACTTTGTGTCTGCTGGCAACATAAATATTTACTTTAAATTGAAGTGCATGGTAACTTGGAGAAGCATACATATTACGATTTACGAGTACCTTGGGTTGATTTGTGGAGAAGTCAAAATCTCTTCTAGTTAGAACCAAAAAACAAAACCTCTTCTAATGTGTTTTACTTTTTCTGATATTTATTTTAATTATATATATTTTTATTAGAGTTGTGCAAATGCATCAGTCTGGAAAAAAGTCATGATATTATTTATACTTTAGTGAAACTTCTATATTATTAATTGATTTAGTAGTATTGTCAACACAAAAATAGACTTCTATGTTAAGATTTTACAGATGTAAAGTCATTGTGCATTTAAAACTTTACTGATAGAAAAGTTTCTTTTGTGGTTAAGCTTTCTTATATTTACTGAACCATGTTCATTTCAGTTGGATATCAGGACAAAACTGTGCATAAGGGATAGTCTGTACCGTTTGGCAAAGAGTGCAGAACAGAGGCATAATTGTGCAAATAAGAAAAGTGGCAATATAGATAGTAGAGAAGCAAATGGAGTATTGTTGGCCCAAGAAACAGACAAGTATGTCACTATTTCTCACTGTTCTGTTATTTTCTTGTTCTGATTCTTATTTTCCTTGACTGGTTTACTACCTTTGCATAAAGAACATTATAGAATATAATACTGCTACCTAAGTATGTTGATGAAATATGTGAAACACTAGGTACATTGACATTGCTTGAATCTTTTATGACTCTACTCATACTGTATTGCTATCTTCACATGGCATTCCAGTTAGCTTACTAGTTGTGCATTCCCGCACAGTGCACTGTTTTTGACCGCTGTTTTTACTTACTGTATGTGTGCTTATTTATTCATACATCTAAACTTTTTAGAATATTTACACTCATGGAAGAGTTTATGTAAAAAATGAACATCTCTACTAGTTCAGATACCCACGGTAAATTAACCCAAATCCAGTCAGTAAGTGGTCTAAGGTCATTATTGGGGATCACTCCATTTCAGTCCACTATCTTTCAGTCCACTCTCTCTAACTGGCACGATCATCCTCCCTTCTCATCTCTGTCTTTCTTGCACGAGCTTCCATCCTCGCCTTCGCACTCGCGGCTTTCCCTCATTGTCGATGATGGTACAAGAGAGGTGTTGATGAGAGCAACTTCAGTGATGACATCAATTACCATTCTAAAGAATAGTCCATCAATTCGTTTATATTGATAAAACCATCCATACAAGATAAAAGAATACAAGTAGTCAACAAAATCCATCTATATAAGCAGAGTGTATCAATCAATACACCAATGCCTTGTCATCCTTGCTAGTGACCTATGTACTGCCATCGAACCATTGCTTTCAGGAATGCTTTAAAGTGATACACCTGCAAAAGGAATTCAAATGGCGTGTGTTATTTTAATTTTTGGTTTCCTGTTGTCATCATTCAATCTTCAGGTGGTTGTCTTTTATCTGGTATCAATTGTCAACAATGTGTGACAAGGGGAAGGAGAGAGGCTTGTGTGAGTGAGAAGGGAGATATTGCGGACTGGGTGGGGTTGGAATGAAATGTAATGATCTTTAAACCACTTTTGACCTGATTGTGGTTAACATAACCTGTGCAAATCTTGGCTCTCGAAGGAGAATCCGCTCTGATTGGGACATCATGCCAAATCATTTAGGGCTACTCTCTAAACATGATCATTTGGCAGTATAAGCATACACTAATGCAGATTGGGCTGGCTGTACAATAGACTGAAACATTTTTAGGAGAGGAGCAATAAAAGACAATTTGGTGTTCATAGATCTAGTATTGAAGCAGTGATAGCTCGTGTTATATGTGAGTTATTGTGGTTGAGTTTGTTGAAAGAACTATGAGTTGTTTCTGAAAGCCCCATGAAGTTTTATTGCAATAATAAAGCATTATTACTGTTGCTCATAATCCAGTGGGGCATAACTGAACTAAACATGCTGAATAGACAGATATCATGGAAAAGTTTACTGGTCTTATTTGCACTCCATAAGTGAGAACAGAGGATCAACTTGCTAGTAGCCTAACTAAAGGAATTTCAAGAGTAGAATCCGAAACATTTATGCATCAGCTTGAGGAGGAGTTTTGACATATGACATCTGGAATCCTGGATTGTAATCAGGCATTTGATAATTGTAATTAGACATTATGTAATTAGCCGACTTATACTTGCAGGTGTGTATAATGTAATTAAGTTTCCTTGTATGCAAACCAAGTACGGTTTAAAAACTCTGCAGAAGAATAATACGCGGCCAACTATTAATTTTTTATTTTTCTCTTGGCAATATCAGTAGCTCATCCAACAAAATGTGTAGTTGGTTTGCAGGACCACCCCCCTTATGCAGTTTTCTGGACAATTTGGAGGGAGATGAATAGGGTGTAATTTTTAGGACAAAGAGCTGTTTGTTGTGTAGCTCAACAGCTATGTTTCTAGGCGTCTTTTGGAAGTTAAATGCTAGGAATGTATTAACATAGTTGAATTCCGAGAGTTTGTGGAATAACTTTTTTGATAGGGGAGTTTGTAGAATTACTATTTTTTTAGGTGTATGGTCTGCATATCTGCATTTTTTGTTGGCTGTTTAGGCTTTTGCCATTTATTAATACAATTTGATTTAGTTGATAAAAAAAATAAGGCAGAAAAACAATGCAAAACAAGTTTTGGAAGGATTATATCACTAGGACTAGCAACATTTTAGTTAGGTAAAGAAAAGCATGTGTCACATCTGCTTGATGTGGGATTGGCTATGATCAACCTTCTGGAACCGGACAAATTAATTGTGCGCTTAATTCTGTTTTTGGTTTAGAGTTTTAAGATCCTATGAGTAACTCAATTTGATCCATAAACGTCTAGGTTGGGGCAGGCCAGTCAGGTTCTCAGGTAAAGTGCCCTCTTGAGGGCGTTCTGTTGTGTTTGGGTATGCTCTTACGTGGCTGAAATGGATTCTGAAAATACATGAGAGCTCTCCCTCTCTCTGACGACATGGAACTAACAAAATAACCTAGTTAGATTATAGATATATTTTCTTCTGATTTAAATAATCATCTTGTTCAGGTGCATTGCGTTTATGGATGTGGAAACTGATACAAACCCTATAGATCGGTCCATTGCGCACTTATTGTTTCACAGGCCCAAAGACCCATCTGCACGACCTGCTAATGATCCCTTATCTCTCAGGTCTAGTGCCTTGGTAAGCCTTTTATACCTCTTAAGAAGATTTTATATTATGAAAAGTTGCTGTCTTGTATTTACACTCATTCTGTGGGTTTCCAATTGACAGATTCATGGGTCTGTGAATAGTACGCCTGGGATGCCTGAAAAACAGGTTTTCCCTGAGAGAACTGCTGCCAGTGATCGGAAAAAAGACGGCGATGAGTGACAACAAATAATAATATACAGTGAGGTGAGCATCTACAGAGATGTAGTAGTGAAGTATGTATATCTTTTTGAATTTGGTGCATGTCATCGTGTTATGGATGACATCTAATGATGCCCAAAATGGAAGCCAGTTCTGATTCCATGTTTTGGTTTTCAGTGAATTTGTATTTGATCTTCTTTGTGTATACCTGTAACGCCCATCTCAATACAAGTTATTTATCAGCTCTCTGTCACTGATTCTTAGTCATATAACTGTTCCAATCATTTATTGGCATGGAGCATCTACTTGCTATCCATTTGATTGACAGTACTCTGTGCTGCACTTATCAGCACGGACTACCATCGGACGTACGTACTGATGATGATTCAGCAATCGTTCTGTGTATGAGTTGTGCTAAGGTCTGTCGCCTATGCTCCCATGTGATTCTGGACCACTGATGCATGTGGGGCTCACACAATGCATAAGCAGTTAGAATTTGCCTGCACTCGAGGCTGATTGATATGGCATTCTTCTTCTATGTATATTTGAGCAAAACTTAGAGGTGCCACATGGACTAGTGTTGTGCAAGCCTCTAAGAAATATTAATTGCCATAGCCAGCTTGAAAGCAAACTTAAAACTTCAATTGTTTGTTGAGCCCCCCTTTGAGCATAGTTGAGGTGGTCAACCTTGCCTTTAATTATAGTCTTCTTGACTTCGGTAATGTTTGTAGAGAGAAGTGGTGCAGGTGAGCTAATCTTCTGTATCAACTTTGGCTAGCCTTGAGAGCCTCAGTTCAACATCCACATTAATAGTAGGCTTCGAGCTAGTTGGAGTTGCTGGGAATTTTCTTGGCAGCTAATAGAGGCTCTGTAAGTCGATGAGGAGCCATTTTTGCTGTTATTTCGCATTCCAAAACTCTGGATTTCTGCATCAGCCTTGGTTCAGTCCAAATGGTCAGAATTCTTTTTTTATTTTTATTTTTTTAAATTTATTAAAAGATATTCAAGCTTTCCTCTTTGGCCGTGGTTCATATGGGACGTTGAGACAGAAGTAGGCAATTCAAGAGGTTCTTGAGCTGCAGTGACTGAGATATGATAATATCAAATTTCCAACATAGAGAAGTTATGGAATTCGTTATTCACCGTTTTTTTATTAGAAGTCTAGTTCCTTGGGGGGGTTTTAGCGCTAATAGTGGGACACTCGCACGTTAGAACAATATGCAGGTCTGATTTTAGAGAAATTATAGAATGGTACAATATCACCACGTTATCTGGTGATACTTCCATTCAAAATGCGCCATGTGTACTATTTTTTAAAGAAAAATTAACTATTTATACAGCCGAATGATTTTAGAGAAATTATAGAATGGTACAGTATCACCACGTTATTTGGTGATACTTCCATTCAAAATGCGCCATGTGTAAAGAAAAATTAACTATTTATACTGCTGGATTTAAAAATCAAATTTTATAATTTAAAACCATTATGGATTCATTTTTCCAATCTCTCTCCCTTTCTCCCTCTCCATTAGTCCTCTATTATGGATTCAAAGCTCATGAAATTTTCTCTCTACGATGGCTTTAGGGTTCAAGGAATTTAGATTGAAGATTTGTTGGGGTTGGGTTTATGGTATTTGAGAAATTATTTAATTTCATACGCAAAGGTCAAGAAGTCTAAAAGTTTCTCGAATTTTGAATGGAAGTATCACTAGCCAATGTGGTGATACCATACTATTCTATAATTTCTCCTGATTTCAAAGCTAAGCAAATGTTCACCCGTTTTGATCTAATCCTATGATTGTTGGGTAAAGTTCCCCGTTAACTTGAGAACCATTCGTGGTTAACAAATCAACTTTCTTTTGTGTATGAGTGTGCCACTGCTTAGCGATTAAAACCCTAGCAGACTTCTAAACAATAGGTAACTTGCGTCCCAAGTTACTGATTCTAAACAAGCAATTGTGAATTTGGGTGAGGAATATCTTCCAAGTAAGTTCTTTTCTTGCCTCAGACTGGTGATGACTTCACAATTTTTACAGTACAAAAATTGGTAGTTATGACCAGAATAAATATTAAAAGAGAGTGAATTGCTTAAGCAAAACTGCCTATTACAAAACTTAAAAGAGAACTACCGAGTTCGAGAAAGACAACAGAATGTTGGACTTCGATTTCTGCTTGGATAGCTGCCTCTAAGCTAGGTTGGACTGGATGTGTTTATGCTGGATTGAATTGTCATCATCTTCAACTGATAGGTTTCAACTGGAAATCGATACCAATGTTTGAATTTGGCAAAGCTTCAATCTTTTTAAGCCCTAAAGGCTTGTTGGATGGGCAGAATTGAGACCTCTTCAGTCTAGACGGGGCCAAAAATGGCTGGATTGATGATTGTTGAGCTGGAGCTATACTATAGTACCTGTTCTGCTTGATCAAGACCTCTTTATAAATTTGTTGAGGTTTTCATATTATAAAAACCCGGATTTTGCTTTGACTTGGCTTGTGCTAAACCAAATTTATAACAAGAGAAATCTCGCTTTGTGAAACTGAATTGAACTCAAGTCTCTAACTTGAGTTATGGTTGATCAATCTTTTGCGGATCAAAGAGTTTGGTTGCTTCAGACTGAAGGCTTTTGAGATCAACTGATCTTGTTTTGAATTCGTTAGTATGTCTTTGAGAGTTTTTGTCTTGATTGATTTTTTTTGCCGTCCTTAACCTGTTCACGCCTTCTTATATTTATAGAGAATCTGAATGAGGTTTTTAATATATCCAGGCATAAAAAGAGATTTTCCCTTCCTAATGCAGAGAAGTTATTAATCTGGCAAAAAAAAGAACCATCAATAGTCAGTTCTTGTGATGGTCTTTTTGCTTTTTCTGAAAAGAAAACCAACTCTCTTGTTCTCTGTTTGTTCTTTGCATAAACACAACTTGCCATGATGGTCCGTTTGCTTTTTTTGGTGAACAACTCTCCTGCTTCCTGCTTATCTCTTGAAAATGTAACCTGCTTTTCTGCACATAGAGAGGGGATTCAATCTTCTTTTCTTGGTTTTTAAAATGGAGAAGGTTTTATGAAAAAACCTATATTCATTAACTCCCTATCACTTCCTCTGCCTTTGTTGAGAATTTTGACTTTTCAAAGTCAGAAAGTCACGTGGGGTTCCTTTTGAGAAAAAATCTTTTAAGAAAAAATCTGTTGACTTGAGAGATCAGATGGTGAGAGTTTAAAAGCTGGGCCTATGAACCAAAGTTAGGTGTGTCAGATTTACTTGCCAATAATGGAAATTCATTTTTTAGATCATGGTAATATTTTTAACATGCCCAAAAAATGGTCTGGGCCATTTTAGTATTTTGGGTTGATTTCCAATTCCAATAGATACAAAGCCCAATCGGTTTCTGTTTGTTATGGGTCATTTAACCAAATGGGTTGGCTTGCAGAAATTTGGCCCAAACATCAAACAATTGATTTATCAAACTTTGTCGAGATAAAGAAAGTGATGTGCTTTTTCACAAAATTTGATTTCCTAAAATCCTGTAATAAAGTAAATGTATTTGCCCAAAAAAAGAACATAAAATATTTGGTAATACTACTAATTAACTTGGCATTTCATCAAAAAAAAAAAAAATTTGGCATTTGCGAATAGATGCTGGTTAGGCTGCCATTTTGTTTGTTTGTTGCTTTTTTGTTGTTTTTATATTTTTTTGCATGAGAACAATCTAAAAAACAAGAAAGCATAGTATCTATTGTAAACTCAAAGGTTATGGATGCTCACCATAAGTCCATTGTAATTCCTCCATTATACCTATCATTATAGGGTTATAACCTATGCACTAAGTATTATATTTATCACCGGTTATTATGCTTTGTAACCCACTACTTAAGGGTGGTAAATGGTGATGTATTTCCTATGCCTATAAATAGCAGGCGCTAAAGATGAATAAGATACTTGAGCATTGAGCTATTGAGAACTATTCTTACCTTTCATATACTTTCTCTATTTACTTTTACAACACGTTATTAGCATGACTCTATTACCAGTTGAGGATCTTGACTTGGACTTGAAACATGGACAATGTCAATGCCTTGAGCAATTCCAAAATGCATGATGCAGATGCATGTTTGGTGAACAGTGCAACAACACATACAATTCTTTGGGATAAGAAATATTTTTCAAACTTAAAATTAGCAAAAGCCAATGTCAATACAATTTCAGGTAGTGCAAAGCTAACTATTACCTAGAGGAACACACATTTATATCAAAGAGGCTTTATATTCTGTCAGATCTAGAAGAAATTTGATTAGTTTAAGGATATACATCTTAATGGGTTTCATATTGAAACTACAAATGAGGAGAATATAAAATATCTTTTTATTACTTATATTGTTTCATGCCAGAAGCATGTAGTAGAAAAACTTCTAGCTTTCTCATCTGGCTTGTATTATACAACTATAAGTACAATAGAATCAAATATCATGATGAACCAGAAGTTCAGTGATCCAAAGCTTTTTATGCTTTGGCACAACCGACTTGGCCATTCGGGGTCAAAAATGATGCATCAAATACTTGAAAATTCACATGGTCATCCATTAAAGAACCAGAGGATTCTTTTATCTCGTGATTGTCCATGTCAGGCTTGCTCACAAGGAAAATTGGTTATTAAACCATCCCCCTTAAAAGTTGCTAGTGAATCCCCAACGTTTTTACAACGAATCCAAGGGGAAATATCTGGACCTATTTGTCCACCATGTGGGCCATTTCGTTATTTTATGGTTTTAATAGACGCATTATCAAGATGGTCACATGTTTGCCTAATTTCTACTCGTTCTATTGCATTTGCTAAGCTTCTTGATCAAATAATTAAATTGAGGGCACAATTTCTAGACTATCCATTTAAGACAATTCATCTTGATAATGCTGGTGAGTTTACATCTCAAGCATTTGATGATTATTGCATGTCCATTCGCATTGGTGTTGAACATCCGGTTGCACATACGCATACTCAAAATAGATTAGCAGGGCTTAAAGACAAACCCAATTTGGGCTACACTCCTTGTCAGTTCAGTTTCGTAGGTCATCTTGCAGGCCTCATTTCAGCAACTTACACAGGTTGGATGAGGAGACATCCTTGATAGAAGTTGTTCCAATGGGTGTCTATTATAACATATCCAAATTTCACAGACATGTCAAAGACTCAACGAAGTTCACAGAAAAGTCATGTTGGCTGCCATCACATTTAATGTGGCTACATCCCTAGAGCCATGT